TCTATCATCAAACAGAAGTCTATTTCTGTTTAGTATAACGTTTTACTAACCTTACTTTTTAACTAAAACTGTAAACACAACAATAAAATCCAATTGAATTATATATGTAATTCAATCTTCATTGGACAAGTAAAATAATTCTTAAACTCTCCAGTAGTATAAACTATCATTTCATTAATGAATAATAAATATGTTGGGACATCCACACAGCACTATCTAGTTACATAGTAAACTACGAGGCTTGTGTTATGGATACCAGATAGTTGATACACTACACAATACACATATGTTAACTTTAAATACAAACATATTATAAAATGAACATTCATTACTGGAGTATAAACATTCGTGCTTATCACACAGGTGAACGCACCCAGCGGGACTCGAACCCGCCACCGCTGGCACAGCAAGTAGGGTCACTACAAACTGAGCTAAAGGTGTCTTCAAATCTATACATATAATAAAATTCTGAGTCGAATCTGTACATATTTTTTTTAAATCTAATTGAAATAGTAATTATTATCGATACAGAGGCCGAATCTATAGTTTTTAGACTTTCTGTGCCACTTTTGACTGTCTGTTACCGCATCACGGAAAAGCCACTGGAGGGATTTTGATACAATTTGGTATGAGGATAGCTGGTTATCCGGGTCAACATACCTATAGTATAGAAAGATATTTACTGCGGGAAAATATCTCATCTCTGAGAAATCTATACTAAACGTTAAAACGTAAGTAGGGACGAACCCGAACGAAGACGAACCTCGGGAACCGTATATTTTTCCGGGATAAAAAATAGCTTATGTAGTATTCCAGACTGTAATCTATTGTTATACCAAATTTCATCCAAATCCGTTCAGCCATTTCGGCGTGAAAGAGTAACAAACATACATACTCACAAACTTTCACATTTATAATATTATGTATAGATATTACCAATTAATATGAACTCAATGTACTATATACCATTATTTTTCATATCTGTACATGTAATATGTTGTTTCTCAAGCATGAAATAATGTATCAACAGATTCAAATGAAAATTTACATAGAGGTCGATTAAACGTTGGAATAGGGCGAAAGATATGTATCTATCTATCTTTCTACCTATTCACGCTGTCTGCTTCGCTCAAGAAATATGAAATTATTTTTCTATTTTTACAATAGATAAATAATTTTAAAGTTAGTTAAATTTTTTTAAGTTTTTAAATTTTATTTTTTGAGAGTAATATAAATGTTATTTGTATTTGGGAAAGTAATTGATGTTATTGAGACATGTACATAATATTTTCATGTACATATTAAGCCGTAAATCAAATTATTTATTTTCTTAAATTTTACTCTAGGAACTATAGCTATTAATTGTATCAATAGTTTTTTTTAGTTTTTTGTGTAGATTAGGTATATTTATTCCTAGCGGCTCTCTTCGCTCGGGTTCACCTCTAAAAAAAAACAAAAACAAATCCCACGGGAACCGTACCTTTTTTTTGGGACAAAAAGTAGCCTACCTGTTATTCTAATGGTGATAATGAATGTGCTTTATTACTGTAAAGTTTCTTTAAAATCCATTTAGTAGTTTTTGCGTGAAAGCGTAACAAACATCCATACCTACATCTATACATCCAGATATGCATACATCCTCACAAACTTTCGCATTTATAATATTAGATTACTCAATAGTAGTATGCTATATAAAATGATGGCGCTTATGGGATATAGCAATATAGAATCTATTGTAATGTCTTGAAAGTTAGTGTACTTTTAGGAGAACGGCTATTTAACACTTTTTTCATTATATAGTGATAATAATATGGTGATTGTTGACACTAAGTCTTTAATAATAAATTATCCGACTAATATTGTAAAAGCCAAAGTTTGTATGTCTGTACGTGTTGGTGTTAGTGAGTGTTTGTTACTTTCTTTTTCGTCATGTTGAAAAAGCTGGATGGATTTGTATAAAATTTAGTACACAGGTAGACTATGACTTAGGAGGAGAACAGGAAAAACCTAGTGAAGCATTGTTTATCTATACATATAATAAAATTGTAACTGAGTCGAATCTGTACATTAAATATTTTTTGGAAAATCTAATTGAAATTGACATTATTATCGATACAGAGTCGGAATCTATAGTTTTTAGAATTTTTGTGTCCGTCTGTCTGTGTGTTACCGCATCACAGAAAACTACTGGAGGGATTTTGATGAAATTTGTTATATTGAAAGCTGGTTATCCGGGTCAACATATAGTATACTTCTTACCTCGGGAAAATGTCGCATTTATGAGTAAAAATACAAAAACTGCCATTGTAAGAGTATACTAATATGTAAAACCTAAGAATTTGGGTTTTAGTCATCTGAACGCGGGCGGAGCCGCGGGCAATGCTAGTATCGTCACAAATTAATTGATGTCGGGATACTTTGGAAATAAGTTAAGTATTACCAGCGATCACTATTTTATCATGTTTATTTATACAAGAAATGTTATTATATAAACAAGGAATATAAACGATCCAAGCAAAAATCTTCGTATACCTAACCCCCTTATTTAATGGGCCAATAAAGAATCTCTTTGATGAATATTTCATATTAACTCCATACTAATATTAAAAATGTGACAGTGTGTTTGTTTGTTTGTCTTTCTTTCACGTCGAAAGGGCTTGGCGGATTGGCGTGATTTTTTGTGTGGAAATAGTTAGAGGACTGGAGAGTAACATAGGCTACTTTTACGGCGGGAAATTATCTCTTTCCCACGGGAAAACACGTTATAGTACAATCCAAAAACATATTTATGCTCAGAAATACTTGAAACTTGGTATAAATTTTCCTTAATACAATTAATTAAATACGTGTTTTAGCATTTTTGGAAATTCATCCCATAAGAGGGTAAAATAGCGGATGTAAGTTTGTATGAAACCTACCATTTTAGAGTTATACTGTAGTTTTAGCGCGAGCGAAGCCGCGGGTTCTGCTAGTAATATATAATTGTTTCCATTTACAAATATTGAAGCTAATGAAGATTCCACAAACTTAGAACTTTCATAAAAATTTAAAATAACATAAGATTTCTTTTCGCAATAAAAATCAAGCTCAACTTCGCTGACCTATTAAGTAATAATCAACTCATTTTAAATCAAATTTGATTCAACAGATTCTACACAAGAGTGGAATTTTTATAACATTACTTTCACTTTTTCTCGATCAATGGTGGTTTTGACAACACGTTTGGCTCAGTTTGTAGTGACCCTTCTCGCTGTGCCAGCGGTCGCGAGTTTGAGTCCCGCTGGGGTTTTTTGTACTCCAATCATGGGTGTTTATATTTATAATATGAATGTATTTAAAGTTCAATATGTGTAGTGTATCAACTATCTGGTATCCATAACACAAGCCTCGTAGCTTACCATGAAACTAGATGGTACTGTGTGTTAATGTCCCAACATATTTTTATATTATTAAAGGTTTAATTTTTTAGGATAAAAGTACATGTAAGTTTTTGTTTTTATAGTATATAATTTAATTAAAATCAATTTCAAATTTTGAAGTAATTAGCGAATATAGTAAGACGTAATATATTTATTAGGTAGAAAGAAAAAGGAAAATAAAGATAACATTTTTAAAAAGGCTATTTTGCTATCTGTAAAAAAATATATGTACTGACTGATACATGTAAAATTTCAATATATATAGATACATAAGTTACAAATATTTTATTAATGTTATCAACATTTTCAAGTATTCACTAAGAATATATATGAAAAATAATAAATAAACTTTTCAATTTATGTATAGTTCATGTAGACCAGCGCATCACGTGAAAACGTCATAAATTGTAGGCCAAATCTAGTATTTCAATTACTTCTTGAAATCGTTCAATCACTTTATCAAAATAATCAGGAAACGTAATTATATTATAAATTAAAAAAATTTAAAACCCCCTACGCAAATTAATTGTCATTTAACAATTACACTGGCACGAGTGAAGCACTTAATCGAGTAATGATACGCCAAAATGCCTTACATCATTTTGGAAAAGAGCTGATACTCTTACACTGCCAGACCAATATTAACCAAACATAGCTAAGAACCACTGGAAGGAAACTGGCTTTCAAATGAAAAAAAAACCGCATCGAAATCGGTCCATCCGTTTGAGAGCTACGATGCCACAGACAGATACACACACTCACACAGACAGACAGACATCGACGTCAAACTTATAACACCACTCTTTTTGCGTCGGGGCTTAAAAACAACGTCGCTATGAAATTCATATATGAATATGTATACTCCGATATACCAAACAATAACAATAGTGTTTTGTTCGTAACTCAAATGCCAAACGAAGCCTTCAAACCCACGTGTTACTCGTATATTTTATAAACAAAAGAAATATTTTACGTTTTGCTCTAGTCTATCAGCTTTATAAACATCCAAGTTGCATTATACATATACATTATAATTCGTATTACTTCTAGTAAAGTTTAGAAAGTAAATAAAAATATTGTCGAACGCTTTTGAGACACTCGTGCATGTTTACTACACAAAGACAAAATGTACATTGAATATGTGTCGTTGATTATAATAAAACTCACCAGATATATTTTAGATTAATAATTTTTAGGAATTGTTTGGATCAATTTTAAAATATTCTTTTTGAGAGAAATATATAAAATTTAAAATTTTGTTATTAAACAATAAAATCTAACAACAATAAAATGAAATATTTTAAATACCACTCATATTTTCAATTCTTAAATGCCCAGTTATGCATGAAATATAACTATTAAATAAAGCGATAAAAGTATAAGTTATAACGAACCCGGAAAACGTAACGTGCATGACTTATAAAGAAAACTCTATGTGTTATAATATTTTTATACGCTTGACATTGACCTTTCAACACAAAGCTAAAGTATTATCGGTTTAAAAATGCTAACATCACGAAATGAGTAACGTGACATATTTATATTAATTATATATTTTAAATAAAGTCGAGAAATACTTACGAATAGTTGCATAAATACTTCTTGCCAGAAGCCAATCCAGTAGGACTAATATTAAAATCATATTGTGAACTTTTATAAAATGTATATGAGTATTATTCATCTTTTAGTAAGTTTTTTTTTATATTTGTGTCAAAAATAAAACCATTAAAACATTACAGCCCCACATCGGGCGCCAAGATATAAAACCAACACAAATCGTACGTACGTAACATTTGATTTTAAACGCGACATTAAAATAATGACAACATAATTCTAATGTAAAAAAAACTAAAAAATAACACTTTTATAAAAACATTTTAAGGAACGAAACACATCGTTAGCCATCATTGGATAGCATTCAACACACGCGAAGTAGTGATTAAGAGGGCGGTAAACTTGTAATCTGTTTCTTCGAAGTCCGTGAAAAGTTTGGCTTGATTTCGGTTAGCGGAGCACACGACTGCTCGCCGTGGAGTCTCGCGGACTACTGAATGCCTAAGAATGGTGCAAGGGGTTGCACCGGCGCGGCGCCTCCCCTTTCGCAAAGCCACCACGGAATACGTAGAACAACTCAAAACCATCGTAGCCTTATAATTTTCTCTTATATCTTGGAATCGTTTAATGACAAAAGGACTTTCCACTATAACATGACGTGGATGTCTTTTTTCTACATTTTAAGTTTTTTTTTTATTAACTTTGACTATCACTTTTACTTGTTGCAATAACATGACTTTGTTCATATATTTTTATTAATATATCAACATTAATTTATCTTGATATATCAAATTAATTTATTTTATAATTTTATGTAGGCGTAATTATGCTAAGTGTCTGTAAAACATAAACCTAGTATAGTTAAAAAAACTCGTTACTGATAAGCAATTGAAGCAAACATTCCTCGCAAAAAGTCAAGGAGCTGCGGAAATTGTCTATTATTTTAGCACAAAACGTATTGAATATAACGCTATTGAAAACTAGGGTAAAAGCGCCATTCTCTTTTCCTACTTAATGTTGAGTGTTTATTATTCTTCAAATTGTACTTTTCATTGTACAATTTTTCACTGTACATGAATGCTAGATTGTTGAGACACGTTTTTAAAAGGTCGCTCATATCAAATTTAATTATTTTACTGTCATCATACTATAATTTACATTCAAAATTCAATTCAGACCATTTTGAGCTTCTAAAATACGCCGTTCTAGAAAAAGTTTATTTTAAACTATAATCTGTTTTAATTAACATGTTACAGTGACACGTTCATGAATATATGGATCTCTTTTAGAAATACTTATGTATTTTTAAATGTATGTAGGCATAGTAGGAATACATAAAAAGTATTAGAAAATTAGTAAAATCGCAAAAGTGCTAACTAAATAGTTAAAATAATTTTAGATTTTTGGTAGATGTTGTCTGTTTTATTTTATTTTTTTCTAATTTTCCACCCCCATACTTTAAAATTTTAGGGATCACGGGGGTTTGTTTAGTTAAGCAAACGGAATATCAATCTATTAATTAGCAACATTGGCTTAAAGACAGTCGTTTTGAAATATCTATCTCAATGTTAAGTACCTGTCTAAAGCTCGCATATGCATATTTAATTTTTTCAGCCATATTTAATTGTACAACACATAACAACAACGACAAAAAAACTATTCCACGGAAACTGTACATTTTACGGGACGAAAAGTAACCTATATACTATTCCAGAGTATAATCTATCGCTATGCTAAATTTCATCCAGATCCGTTCAGCCGTCCTAACGTGAAATAGTAACAAACATACATTCATCCTCATAAACATTCACATTTATAATATTAGTATAGATTTTTAAAACACGTATCCAGTACAATCCCTATGAATAAAGTAGCCTTTATGTGCCCCAATTTTCTTCGTATCTAGACACCTATCTTCTAAAAATCAGATGTATAATGATATAACGTACGGACAAGCAGATATCACGGAATTATGGGGTTTTATTTTTACCTTTCGTCGATGAAACTTTAAAAACGGAGGAATTGTTAAAAAGGTAGGTAAACCTAATTATCTTTGTACTAGCGACTCACCCTCGCTTCGCTCGGTTTCGTCCCTCGCTTCGCTCGGTTTTGTCCCTAGCTTGATTCCCCATACAAACTTTCATCCGCATGTACACCCCCTTAAGGGATAATTTCGGAGATAAAAAGTATCCTATGTCCTTCCCAGGGTCTCAAACTATATTCTTACCAAAATATTTCATCTAAATCCATTCAGTAGATTCAGAGATTACCCCCTACAACGTCACAAAGTCACAAACTTTACCTCTTTATAATATTAGTATAGATTAACTACACGATAGAACACACAAAGATGTCTATGTTTGTAAATAGGTAACAAATAAAGAAGTTAGAATGAATATACCTATTACATAATTTAAAAAACTATATTATTTACCGGTTCGTTGAAATCCAAGTACCGACTTGTCGACTAGCCGTCGCCGTAACAATGTTTCTGCGAATTGTGGCCTCCTACAATAAGTGGCTATAGAGGCGTAATTATTATTAACACAGTCAATACATTTCATTTATAGAACACGTAATCCTAAAATCGTTTTTTTTTTTAAATTACTAAAATAAATAATGATTTCATATTAAAAACAAAATATTTTCTCATGTATAAGTCCAGTTTCTTAAGTACGTTAAGTAAAGCCGTTGAAGCCGTTGAAATGACAAAAGTCATTATAAATATTTCACAACCCAGTTAATGAAGTAACAAAAGATATGGAAATGATAATAATAATGTAAAATATCAACTTATAGTGATCACTATCAATTCTGTTATATGACAACCATTTCTCATACCCTGTTAGTAGTAAAACTAAGATGCATAACTGATTAGGCGACACCCGTACCAGCCTGCCTCAGCTACGACCAAACGCGCGTAAACTTAAAGATTAAAATATACGACGATTGCTTTACTGAAAAAGTGTTAAAACTTCTCGATAAAAACAGGCAGAGCCTTAAAATTAATGACCCGTGTTTAATTTGTTTAACTAACTTTAACCAGATACTGAGATAACAGTACGCAGGAGTTTGGGTGAGGAAATGGTCGGAACCTCACAATAATTATGCGAAACATCGAAAGCGTACGAGTCGAGTCTGTTTTGATAAAATTTTAAGCATAATATAGATATTTAAAATTATATACAGTTTAGTAATTAAATTATCTACGTGGAGATAAGTTATTTTCCAACTAAAACGAGATATACTTCGGTTTATTTAAAAGAATGATGAGATGAAAAATAGAAAGGCATAGATAGCTACATTGAAAAACAGACTGTATAATTTTTTTAGCACCTTGTAATTATGCAACAAATTACATATTTAACACCTCCAGGTAAATTTCTAAGAAATTAATTAAATTTCTAAGAAATCTATTGTAAACTGTAACGCCGCGCCGGCGTGTCCGCGGTCGTGGAGGTATTAATCCCGGGCAAATATTTACTCGTATACATATCGTATTTAGTTAGTACATGTTCTGCAATCTGATTGTATGTTTTGTGTATATTTTGGAGGACCTCGGTATTTTTTTTTATTGTCACAAATAAATATATCCTTCGATGGAAAGAAAAATATTTTTGTTACTTTCCATAATATAGCAGTTTCCAATGCATTGAAGAATAATCATAAAAATATATTGTCCCATCCGGAGTATTTTACATCTTTGTACTTTTAAAATTCCAACACGGACCAAAAATATTCTATTTGACGACACGTTTGGCTCAGTTTGTAGTGACCCTACTTGCTGTGGCAGCGGTCGCGGGTTCCCGCTGGGGGAATTCATTTGTGTGATGAGATCGAATGTTTGTACTCCAGTCATGGGTGTTTATATTTATAATATGTATGTATTTAAAGTTATACATGTGTAGTGTATCAACTATCTGGTATCCATAACACAAGCCTCGTAGCTTACCATGGAACTAGATGGTGCTTTGTGTTAATGCTTTGTGTTTATTTATTATTATAGCATGAGTTCCTAACCTTAATAGGTTGGTTATTGTACAATATTCAATTAAAATCAAATCTGTGCCTTTTACGTAAACTAAAAAGGCAGAAATACTTGATACTTATTATTATCGTTATGTACGATTTACGAGTACGATTCCTTTGATATCTCTCATCTGTCGCTAAAGATTTTTATTATAAGTTATCAAGATTCTGCCGTGAACTATGACACTCGTAATTATCTGGGGATATATGAAAAAAGTGTATATTTTTTCTTACACGAAAACTTATACATTGATTTTGGTACAAATTGGCCCGATAACTGGTTAGTCATAATTTTAAAGGGTCCTCCTTGAAAGGAGAAGATATCTATACTAATAATGTTATAAAGAGGTAAAGTTTGTAAATTTGTGATATTGTGAGTTTGTGACGTTGTATGGGGTAATCTCCGGACCTACTGAACTGATTTAGATGAAATTTGGTAAGAAGATAGTTTGAGGCCCGACAAAGGACATAGGATACTTTTTATCCCGGAAATCATCCCTTAAGGGGGTGATAATGGGGATGTAAGGTTGTATGGCGAATCAAGCTAGGGACGACCCCGAGCGAAGCGAGGGTGAGTCACTAGTACTGTAATATAGAGATAATACCATGTAAAATACAAAAAAATCATAAAAGTCATGTCTGTCCATTGCATAGAATTTAAACTACGTAGATGCATATTTCACAAACTCATGGTGACATCTATTGGTGATTTGCTAAACAACCAACATCGAATCATTAGTAATTATTAAGTTTCTCTTACGTTTAAAATTTCGTTATTTATTTTACATAAGTATTCGTAATTACTTCCTGACTTATTTTGTAAGTAACTAAGTAAATACAAAGTTTTGGTGCATTTTACTAAAACCATGTTTTTTTATATACGGATTGGGACTTTTTTTGAGTAAAAACTACCATATACGTTCACCCGGATAATCAGCTGATACCATTCCAATTTCATCAAAATCTGTCACACGGTTTTCGCATGATAAGTTCACAAACAGACACAAAACTTCAAAATTAATTATTTGGCCTGTGTATAATATATACACAGATAATGGCTATTATTATTTTTGCAAAATAAAATTGCTTGTAATAAAAAAGAGTGAATCGTATTTATCAGATTATAATTAAATAAAACTATGTTTTCGGATTTTTTCGCGGATTTATTTTGATTTCTTGATCCTGACATCACGAAATCATGGTCACGGGAGAGTCTTAGACGTCTTAAAGGTCATTATATACTTGTTACAGACAGTATCTACCCGCAATTTCACAAAATGATTTCTAAACATTTTAAATTTTAATAATTAGTAAAAATTTCAATATGAATTCAATAATTAGAGAATTCATTTATTATATTTAATAGAATCAGTCAGAAATACACCAATCCATTCATTCAAATAATAGTTTTTAATCTGACATGAATTCTAGGCGTAATGTATTAAAAACAAACGAGCACGTCTATTAGTATTATTGCCAAAAGCACCGTTAATCATTTGAACGCAGTCCATAAAAGTGAAGCCCTAAATTCGTACGTGCTATACACACCTAAGGCCAT